AAAAAAAAAAAAAAAAAAAAAAAAAAAAAAAAAAAAAAAGGAATATTCAATGAAGACCATATATTGTTCACAGAGCCTAAAATATTTACTATCTAGTCCTTTACAAAAACGTGTGTCAACCCCCGGTAGCCCTATACTTTTTTTAAACTGCAAGTCTCAACACAATTTACATACTTAAAAAATAGTGATAATAAGTGAGAATTAATTAAAATAGGAGAGATTCAATAGATATTTTCTAATGCACATAATAGAGGGATGTACCATTGCCAAAGTTTCTGTTATATACGCATATACGTGTGTTGGATAATGATCAAATTGTATTTGGCTGTAGTCAGAAAGTTTTAAAGTCCTTGTGGGTAGGGGTGGGAAATAAATAGCGCAATTGGCTAATGAGTATTCATTAACACTCACACGGAGTAATTTTTACAATAAAGGTGCCTTGGAGAACGTAAAACCATATAAAACGATCCCTGCTGTTTAGAAGTTAATGGCTTATTCACTACAAGATGGAAATAAAATCTGTTTTGTGTACAATCTACATTGTTGTAAGGAGAAAATGGAATCATCAATGCAAAGTACTTCCAAAGCATTCTACTAACAAAGAAAATAGTTATACTAACAATAAATCATATCAAACATATATAGGGTTTTTTTTTTTAAACACCTCCCTTAGTTCCTAGTTTCCTCCAATCTGGGAAACAAGTCTTTTTTTTTCCTTTGTGTGTGTGCAAGTGCATGTACGTAAGTGTGCGTGGACGTGCCAGGAGCATAAAAGAAGTATTAGATGCTTCTGCCCTTTCTGTGTCATCTGTTATTGGCTTCTCCTTCCCCTCTATTTAAAGTATGCCTTCTTTTCCCTTTTTCTTAGTTCTAGCAAGGAAAGCATTTGATTAAATTCTTGTGCAAAAGGAACAAGTAAGACTATGACCATCTTATCCCTGGAAACACTAAAAAGTCTAAAATAAACATTTTTTAAGTAAGGGTTTTCCTTTTTATCTTCATTGAACACTGATGTCCAGGGTTTTTGTGATTTTTTCAGACAAGCTAAAAATACATTAATTCTAAAGCACATTTCAACAAATCTGCAAAGAAAACGCCTTCCCAGGAACCTACTCAAAGAAATGACACCTTAAAACGTTTTCATTATATGGAATACACTGCAGACACACAAACCACAAGCAGTGTAAATAAATACAGACTGGTGCAATGCTGAAATGCTTGTTTGTCTTCCACCACAAAGAGAAAACACTTGCACACCGTGGTATTTTAGCTTGGGATGCCATAAAGATGGGATTTAGGCATGTGGTGTAAATACAGGAGGCTGTGACTGTGTGTGTGTGTGTCTGTGTGTGTTAGGGAAAGAGGGTTGTAAGCAGAAGGGGTGGGACTTGCCAGGAGCAACTATTGCAGAAAATTCCTTTTTCTTTCTCATTCATTCTTTCTAGCTTGTGTATGGCACAATCCTTACAATTACTCACTGACTTTTCATTCTAAAGACAACCAACAAGCTTTCAGAACTTCCTACAGGGGTTTTCACATACTTTTTTTTTTTTTTTAAGGCACCAAATCATTGACTATTTGTTTTAAATAAAAAGCAAACCATTAGCCCGTTTCCTCATTCCAAAAACCCCATGAGTTGCAGGCTAAACAGGATCCTTTGTTGTGTGTCCAAAAATAACACAACGCGGTATTGGTAAATTGGAAAATAACAGATTACTCTGCTTCAAGAACGTCAAAGTTATTGTCATAAATTTTGTTCTGCCTCAGTGAGTCCAATTTTATGCTCCTTTTAGTGAATATACAGTCCTAACGACAGCAAAGCCAATCCAACTGAATACCCTTCGCCTTTTCTCTTTGGACACTCCATTAATAAATTACAAGAGCGGCAAGAGGATGTCAAGTGGGCCAGTTTCCTTTACGCACAATGGTATCCGAGCCGCGAAATCTGTCCACAACCACAGTGACAGCTGTCTTGGATGCCCACCCCACACCGTTGGTCCTCTGCCGGCGAGCCCAGGACCAGAGGGGGGCACCGGGACCGAGAGCTTTAACCTCCCAGCGCCCCACCTCCAGAGGAGGGAAAGAGGGGGAGGGCACGACACGAAAGCAGAGTAGGAAGGTGGGCGAGTGGGAGAGACAGAAATGGATGCCGAGGAGGTGGGCGAGATGGGAAGGTAGAGAAGGTGGCGAACGCTGGGAGAGGCGGGTGAGCAAAGCTGCGGGGTTCTAGAGCGAAGGGGCAACGGCGCGGGCGAGCGGGGGCGCGCAGGGGGTCGGGTCCTCACCGTTGAACGCCCCGGCGTCCGCGGTCGCCACCTCCTCCTCCTCCTCCCCGTTCTCCGAGTCGGTGTGCATGGGCTCCTCCGCGAAGTTGACCCCCTTACTGGGGGTGCCGCCCCCGGCGGCGGCGCCCGCGTCCCCCCAGGTCCTGCCCTCATGGCCGAAGCGCGCGGCGCCTTTGCGCTCGTTCTCCTGCTGCAGGCGCGTGAAGTGCTGCAGCGCGAACTCCAGCAGGTCCGCGGGCTGGTGCCTCAGCACCTCCACCGTGAAGCCCTGCAGCAGCTCCGTCAGTCCCGCGGGGATCTCGATGCTCATCCTGCCTGCTCTGCGGTGGGCGCCTGGGCGCCGCCCTCGCCGCCTCCCTGGACCGGCCTGCGGGCGGCCTGCGACCCCGCGGCCGCCAAGCGAGCGCGGACGGCGCTGGAGGCGCTACCCGCTGCTAGCGCGGCGCTGTGGGCCCCGGCGGCCCGGCTGGCCCGGCCCGCGGCTCCCGGCGCGCGGCTGCTCCGTGCGGCGGCGGCGGCTGAGCGAGCGCGGCCCCGGGAGGGCTGGCAGCATCTCCGGCTCCTCCCGCTCCCGCCGCGGCCGCTCCTCTCCCCACCCCTCCCCCGCGCCGGGGCCGCCCCGCCCCCGCCCTGCCGCGCCGCGCCGGAGGGGGCGTCGGAGCGCGCCCACGTGACCCCCGGAAACCATGGCAACCTCCGCCGGCGGGCGCCGCGCACCGCCTCTGGGAAGGTTGCGGTGCTGAAGACGCCGGCGGGCGGCGGCTGGCTGACGGGGACCACGGCTTCGCGCGCGCCGGGCACGGGCCCCGCTCGGCACTGCCCCAGGGGGCCCCCAGGCGCGCCTCGCCGTCCACCTGTCCGCGCCTGGGGGCGGGCGGGCCGCCGGCCGAATTCCACAAGTCAGTGAGCAAGGCGAGCCGCGCGGAGCTGCTGCCACGCGATTGGCCCCGAAACTTCAGCCTCCACCTCGGTAGCGGCATTTTCTTTTCCTCCGGGAATCTAGTTGCATTGTTAAGTGTTGGCAGTGTCTTTTGTTTAAAGTCCTCTGTGCTACCGGTTTTGTTTTGGACAAGAAAATAATAGCCCATCCTTGTGACACCTTTCTTTCTCCTTCGCTGCATTTTACCCAGCCTTTCTCCATACATCCTGTTTATGTTTACTGGTACTAGTGCGATGCACTTACTACTATTAAGACAAATGCACCATTTATTATCAGGCCCTTCAAACATGATAGTGCAGCAATTTGAATAAAATGTCAGAGTCAAGACGGACGGTCCTAAAGCAAAAAACGTTTTGCCTGATGGGGTTTTATTATTTATTTTAAAACTTCACATTACACTTGGAGCTAATCGAATTGTATCTCCAAAATAGGTTACTTAATATAAAGAGAAATAGAACTAGAGACATGTGCCATTAAAGTAGACGTCCTTGTTTTTAAAATGAGGCTTATTCTGCAAATATTTACAATTTTGAATTCGGAGATTGCTTTTTACCACGTAAATGGTTTTTTGAAACACGTTCTTCATTTTCTACAATGACCATAAAATAAATGGTCATAAAATAAATAAATAAAATTGTAAAGAACAAGCTCAATTATTCTTATTTATCTTTCCAATCTTGAAAAAAAAGAGTACATACATGACTCAGGAAATTCAAAGCCTAGAAATTGAGATATCACATTTATAAAAATTCATCTTCATAGTAATCCTTTGCTTATAATCCAGCTTGTAACTGCTCCATTAGTGAATGTATTTCTTGACTTCTGTTTCTTAATCAACTTCATAATAGTATATTGTTTTTAAATATAGTTAAGTACTTCTACAATGCCAGGCATCGTAAGCAGTAAGGTTTTATTAAATATCATGATCCTCATAGAGGACAATATTAGTCCAACTCTTTATCATGTAAGTGTTCTATAAACCATATAAGCATTATTATCTTTATAGATCCAGTAATTAAAATGGATTTTCATTGCCTGCCTTCATTTATGTTGATGTTTTTATTAAGATTAGCTTTGCTCACATGTGGCAGAAAATGCCAACTACAGTAGCTTAAGCAAGATAGAAGCTTATTTTTCTGTAATGTAAAGGTAAGCAGGACTGGTGTATGGTGGTTTCATGATCTTCAGGTATGCAGGCTCCTTCTAGCTCATGGCTCTGTAATCCTCAGATTGTGGTCCAAAATTGTTGCCCTACTTTCAGTCATCTCATTCATGTTTAAGCCAGGAGAAAAGTGGGAAAGAAAGGGATTCCACCCTCTCCTCCTTCCCCACATCTCCCATCCAAACACACACACACACACACACACACACACACACACACACACCCCTCTCAGAATGCTTTCAGGAAGTTAAACGCACCAATTCTTTGTATACTCTCTTGGCCAGAACTTAGTCAAGATGGCCACATTTTTGATGGATGCTGGATTGCGTTTTCCAAAGGTGACTCCAAAAATATCTCCGGTCCCTTGCCTTCTTCTAGGGTGTGGCCTTGCCACTCCCCCTTCAAGGGTTGAAACCTTAATTCCCCTCCTCTTGAATCTGGATGGGTTTGTGACTGCTTTGAAAGAAATCATGTCAGGATGACAAGAAGTAGCCTGCTCTGTGATGCCGTGCCCCAGATCCTGACCCACAGAACCTGTGAGCATAATAAAAAGGTTGTTTTAAGCCTCAGAGTTTGGGGATAATTTGTAACACAGCAATAGGACTGAAACACATAGCCAAAAGAAAAGCTTAGGAATATAGCCTTTATTTTGAACAGCCATGGGCCAAGCAAACATTTGGAAATTGAGAACCAGTTCTGGGGATAATAACCAGTGTTTGCCAAATGGTTAACACTCTCCTCCAGGAATGACAGGGAAAAAAAGAGCTACTTTTCCAAACATTTACAAAACCGTATTTCAAAGTAGCATATTCTGTGTTTCAGAGTAGTTTATTGTTGTTGTTGTTATTTTGTTTTTGTAGATTTACTATATGAGGCAAGGTGCATGGCTCTGTCATCAATGGCAATGCTAGGGGCATATGGCTGTCTTTCCTTTAGGGGTTTAGAAGTGAGTCAGGCATGAAATGCGTAAGGGGATTAGATGACCTACGTGGTCTCTCCCATCCTGGGATATTCTACAACAGTATAATATTAAAAGAAGACATGTGGGTTTTAAAACATCTTTGCAAACAGCTCTCTGATAAGAAGTTTTATTTGCTTCAATTCGTAAATCAGTAACCATGACCTGAAAAATTAAAGCTTGATCCTGGTAGTCCTATTATGTTAATATTGTTCTCAGAACCAACGTTCACTTCTAAACTCCTATTCTGGCTTTTATTCCCTACCCCGTATCTATTTGGGTTAATATGGTGTGATTTCCTTTGCTTTCATTTTTGGAATATGTCCTTCCAAACCTTGGAGGGCAGTGACAGTGGCCTATGGGGACTATTTATCTTTGGATTCTCAAAAAACATCACTGAAATTGATTCTTTGGTTGTTGATTTACCAAGCAATTTTCACTAGTTTCTCAGAGAAGCTGAAGCAATTGCAAAAGAACTCTTAGAGTTCAGCATTGGAATCAAATAAGATATGCTATCAAATTTGTGTTCATGCATGGAACATAAATAGATATTGGACAGAAACATCAATTTGTCTATATGCAGCCGCCAACACAGGACGACAGCATGGACAAGCCATAGGTTATGACAGAGAATCGTAACTGTGGCCAATCAATCAGACAGCATTTCCTGCCAATAGTTACTATGTATTCTGACCACGTCTCTTTGGCTAAAGAAATATATACCCATTTGAGGCAAAAAGACAAATGGAAAGGACATGGGGGGTTGTGCCTACACAGAGCCCACTCTAGCTGTCTCTCTTAGTTTTATATACCTTTACCAGTTCAGTACCAGCTATCGGTGTCTCTAGTTCATATCCGGAAGAGAGGGAATCCAGTTAATTTGGTCTTGACCATCCAGTGGATGGGCTGGCCTTGCATGAGAGTTTCTCTCCTGATTCAGTCCATGTGGCCAGTGGCGTGCAGGATAAAGAAGGGGCTGGGTAGCATAAATAAACACATATCAACACCTATGTCTTCAGCAAAAAGTCCCAAACATGGACACTGTCAGTGGCATAGGTACCTTCACGACTTATGAAAGATGGCCACCTCATAGCCCAGACATCTTGGAAATGTTTGGGCTAAGACTAAATAAAATAATTCATGTCTAGATGCAGGTGTGTACCCCCAACTTTTCAGATTCAGTAGGTCAGAAGTGGGGCCTGAGGATTTGCCTTTCTGTCAAACTCCTAGGGGATGCTTCTGCTGCAGGTCTGGGGACCACACTTGGGGACCCACTACACTCAATTCCCCCAGCAGGGAGCTTATACGCATACTGAGAAGACAACTGCTTGAAGTAACTTTTCTGCTTAACATCAAAGCATGAGTTTTTCTCTGGCTAAATGCAACCTAAATGCAACTTCATTATTCTGTTCTCCTTTAAGAAGCCTTGTACAGCTAAAGAGATTCTCAGAAGCAACAGGGAATATATCCTTAAATGCTACAATTCATAAATAGAATATGGGTTTCCTCTTAAGGACGAGGTCGGGCTCACAAGTTTATCTCTGCTTCCTAAAGCTGCACTGAAACCATGACTAAAGGAATGGGGAAGATAAAACAAAATTATAAACTCATAAGGACAAAAGAACAAGAGAACTATAATAAAAATTTTAAATGATAATAAAAAATTTAAGTTACTTAACCTTAAAAAGGAAGGGAATTCTGGTGTACACTGCAATGTGGCTGAACCTTGAGGACATTATGATAAGTTAAATAAGCCAGTCAAAACAGACAAACACTGTATGACTCCACTCAAAGGAGGCCCTTCGAGTAGTCAGAGTCATAGAAACAGGAAGTAGAATGGTGGCTGTTGGGAGCTGAGGGGAGGGGGAAATGGGGAGCTGTTTAATGGGCAAAGAGTTTCAGTTTTGCAAGATGAAAAACTTCTGAGGTTGGTTGTGCAAGAATATGAGTGTACTTCACACTACTGAACTTGAACTATAGACTGAAAAATGGTTAAGATGATAAACTTTGTTATATGTAATTTACGACAACTAAAAATTTGTTTAATTTTTAGAAAAGGAACATGAAGGGGCGCCTGGGTGGCTCGGTTGGTTAAGCGTCTGACTTCGGTTCTGATCTTGGGGTCCTGGGACAGACCCCAGTGTCGGCTCCCCATTGAGTGGGATATCTGTGTATCTCTCTCCTTCTGCCTCTCTCCCTGCTCGTGCTCATTCCCTCTCTCAAATAAATAAATAAGATGTAAAAAAGGGAAAAGGAACAGGAAAAGAGACAAGAGCAGATGAGAGTTGTCCACTAAAATTTTGGAACTAACTTAGCGAAGTGTGGAGAACACT